ATATATATATGTTGTGGTTTCCAACAAAACTCCCAACAAAACTAGTTCGATCAGACCTCAGTTGTAAATCTACTTGAAACAGTCTACTCTTTTTTCCCAGGAGAAACAGCACACAGTTTGGAGGTGTCCATAACCGTTAGGGACTCACATTTGCTTGGTGAGGACATTGTCCTGTATGTGAAAGTCACAAACCACTCAAGCTACCCGAGAGAGCTGATGGAACGCGTTAACGCTCAGCTGAAAGAGTACAACAGCAACCCGCAGCAGGGCTTCTGGGATGCACAAAGTGAGGTGAAGATAAAGCCAAACCAAGGTAAGAGAAAACAGTTTATCCCAAGCAATTTTCCACAAAGAAACACAAAATTAAAAAAATTTTAAAAACATTATGAAGTAGGATGCTGTTGGGTTGCAGTTGAGATTTTAGTTGAGGTTCTGACAACACTGGCTTCAAAAGGTTGTATTTTTGCTGTTCATGTGAAAATGCAGGTACCTTTTCAAGAAAAATAAAAAACATTTTCGTGTGAATGCAAGGCTGAAGCTTTTAAAAAAGGTGGAATTCACAAAACGYCTTTTTTATTTAGAGCTTCTCCTTTACATTTATGTTACCGAGAAATGCATCATGAGCCGATCTGTTCCAACACATTAAAAAATGTTCTCTGTCTTCTACAGCACTGACGTGCCAACACGTCATTCCTTATTCATCGTACGAGTCCATCCTGAAACCTGACGGTGTTGTGAATGTGGCCGTGGTGATGCAGGACACGATGACCAGAGAAAGAGTCCTAGATGCACTAGAATTCAGCATGAGCACACCACAGATAACAATAAATGTACATAACATCTCTACTCTTCAGCTCGCAAAGTATCATGCATTAATTGTCTTTATCTTTTGCTCTCCGTGGTTCCCACTTTGATCTACTTGGTGGTTGTCAGCTGAATATGACAAGCTCAAGTTATTATGGTGTAATGAAGAGCAAAGACAGAAATCACATCAAAGAAGCGTCGGTGAAAGCTTCCCCTCTCTGTGACCTAAATCAAACTTATCACAATCAGTTGTATTAAACTGCAAGTCAACTGTCAAAACTCTGCTTTTAGTACTGAACGAAGTCAGTACAGGTTTGAGCAGAAAATACAAGTTCTGTCTTTAAAGTATATAATAAGTAATAAGCTGAACAAAGGTCAACATTCTAAAAGTGATCAGCAGTCTTGCTGGATATGGTTAATTTGTTCCCATTTCCTTTTTAAAAAGCTTGATTTTTAAAGTCTCTCAGCAGATTGACAACATAATGAAGTAAACATGCTGTGTGATTTCTGCCATCTTGTGTGTATTCATGTACTTGTCTCTGCTTTACAGATGGAAGGAGGTGACAGCATCCAAACAAAGAAAGAAAAAACAGCTCAGGTGACTTTCACCAACCCGTTTAACAGAGCTCTGAGTAAAGCTGTGCTGACTGTGGAGGGATCTGGTTTGATAAACAGAAAACAGGAGAACAAGTAAGTCTATTTACAAATACAATTAAAGATGTAAAAGACCCCTCATATGATTAAAAATAGGTACACATATAATTAGCTTGTAAATTCTAGTGACGTCATTAATAAAGAAAATAAGGTGAATATTCTGTGGGTATGAATGGAACTGCTCTAAACTGGTTTAAACCATATTTAGTTAGATGATCGGTTCTTCTGTGTATTGATTGGTAGTTCCTCTGGTTTTGTGAAACTCACTTGTGGCGTTCCTCAAGGCTCCATTCTTGGCCCACTGCTATTTTCTATTCACATGTGACCTCTTGGTCAAATTATTTGTAAATATAATATACAGATGACACCCATATGTTGATCCATCTGATCTGTCTGATCTAAACATACTAGGTTCATGTCTAGCTGATTTTAAGGTCTGGATGTATGATAATTTTTATTGTTAAACAATAACAAAACTGAGGTGTTGCTTTTTATTCCCAAGGCTCATAGAGACCCTATAATTCGAATTCTTAATTCTTCAGGTTTACATTGTGCCCATGAGGCTAGAGGAACCTTGGGGTGGTTCTAGATTCGGATCTGAGCTTCACAAAACATTTTATAAACTGTATTAAAACTGGCTTTTATCAAATTAGGAATATTATCAAAATAAGACCAGTGATCTCTTTCACGGATGCTAAAACCCTCATTCACACTTTTGTTTCTTGTCATCTTGATTACTGCAGTTCTATATTTGCTGGTCTGCTTAAAAAAATGCGTAAAAGCCTCCAATTAGTACAAAACACAGCAGCTACAGTCCTGAGTAGACAGGGGCGGTTCTGGGGGTGGGACCACAGGGGCATTGGCCCCAGCTGAAATCAGATTGGCCCCCTGAAGTGTCCCTGTCCTGTCATTCATCTGTGCTTTTCTTGGGAGCAATGATGGCAAATGCAGTTCCATGTCCAAACACTAGAGGCGCCATTGAGTCAAATAGGAAAGTCCAGCATGAATCAAGCTTAAGCCGGTTTCCCACCAAATAAGTTTTGAGCAGCAAAAATGCGCCCAGCGCCTCAAGTTGGATGCACTGAAACGCGTTCCGTGTGAATGCAGCAGCAGACTAGATGCACGTCTGATGAGGGAGGAGTATCTTGTTTTTTTTTCCAGTCTGTCTTTAATGACGGGTGAAATAAAGATGAAATAAAGAAAATAGCTTTGTTTTAATTACTAAAGAGCAAGCGAACGTTGCACACAGCAGATAATTAATTCACCAGATGATTTAGAGGCAGTTTGATCGGTTAGTTTCACCAGTTCAGGAGCTGCGAGCTGACAAACTTTTTTTTGTCCCTGAGCCCAGTTTAACACCGCGGCCAGTTTAACGAGCTACAGACCCACATCGGTGCTGATATCTCCAGCCAGAACACCAACTGCAGATGGTCGATTTCAGCTAAAGAGCTCCTGTCCGTCTGCTTCGGGTTCAGGAAACCGTCACGTGGAAAGAAGATTCTCTCTGACTGGTTGCTGCGGTGCGTCGAGCAGCCAAAGTTCAATTTTTTGAACTCGAGCAGCGGCTGCTTTGGATACGCCACATGCACGGAAAACGATCTGCCTCATCCTACCTCTACCTTGCGCGCCGCGCTAAACTGGCAAAATGYGCCGCGCTGCCCCTGGATGCGCGTCCACCACAGACTTTGCATGTGAACTGGCTGCTTTGGCTGCTCAAAACGCGCCCGGTGTGTACCCGGCTTTACAGAGGCCTTGTTAAGAATACTGCAGAAAGTCTTTCAAATGACAAATGGTGACTAGATTTTCTCAAATGCTCTGTGTTTGAAAGTATTTTATCTAGTAAAAATGTATGTAAAACTGTGATGTGCAAGCTTTTTTATTAAATATTACATTACAGGTGTTTGAACATGCGTGACTGGTTAAGCGTAAACACCTTACCAATACTGGGGATTTGTGTGATAGAAGGTTGAACAAATACTTGGCCTGTCTATGAATACAGTGACTCCTTGATGGCCTCTTGCTCAGAAAAATCCTAGATCCGCCACTGTCAGTATAATCCATAAAAATGATCATATCACTCCAGTTCTCGCCTCTTTTCAGCATTGATCTGAAGATTTTATTGTTTTAATGTTTTAAAATCGCTGACTGGACTTGCACCGTCATATATTACTGAGTTACCTTCTCCTCATGCTCCCTTGCGACCTCTGAGATCATCTGATCAGTTGCTACATTTGGTGCCCAGAACAAGATTACAGGGGGTTAACGAGCCTTTTTTACGTTAGGGCTCCCTTTTTTATGGAACGCACTTAACATTAGACAATCCTCTTCACTGGCCACTTTTAAAACTCTTTCAAAAACATTACGATGAGTTAACTTTTAATTGTTGATTTTTGCACGTTTTATTTTTTTATTTGTACTATGCGTTTTATGTGTTTTGATTTAATTATGTGACGTAAAATATTTTGTAACTGTGTTCTAAAAGGTGTTATACAAATACATGTATTATTATTATTATTATTTGTTTTAATATCATATTTTTGGCCTGATAACGAAAAGAAAATGAGATTTGGTAGTCAAAATCACATCTGGATCTTGACGAATTGGGATTTAATCTCAATAGCACACATAGCATCAGTTTCCCTTTGTGTCTCTGGATGGTTTCAGGGCGCTGCAGAAGCACAGAGCGTGTCTTTGTTGGACCTGAAAATGGAAGATTAAGTTTCTCTTTTTTTTTTTGTCTCCCAGGCTGGATCTCCTGGTTCCTGGCAAGAGTATCGAGATGAAAGTGTCCATTATGGCCACTTCACCTGGCACCAAAGTGCTCAAAGCTACGTTGTCACACAGCAGCAGCTCCATCATTGTTTCCAGGAGCTTCCACAAAGTTTCTGTGAAGTCTGCGTGAAAAACAAAAATCAACAAGAAACGTTAACATTATGGCTTAACGTAGACATATATGTAGAATTTTAAATACTTTTTTGATGCCAGTGTTTGTATTTCATTTCTTTACATAAATGACATATAGTTTAAAATTGAGTAACAACTGTTCATTAAAATCATCCCTTTTTAATTGTGCAGGTTTTAGTAAATACTGAAAGTAAAAGTAAAAGGTTCCCGACAGTGGTGGGCAAAGTACTCAACTCAAGTACTTGAGTAAAAGTACTAATACTCATGGTCAAATCTTACTCAGCTACAAGTAAAAGTTGCTCGGTCAAAAAATCTACTCAAGTTAAAGTACTGAAGTACTTTTATAAATACTTAGGTATTCAAAAATACATGCATTTAAAAATACTCAAGTATTCAAAAGTACAAATTAAATTTTCTAATATCAGTACATTGCTGTATTGTTTTCAGAGTGATTTTACAGAACCTTGTAACTCTCAGAAACCACCTGATGTATCGACACATAGAAACACTCTGATACAAATTCTWCACCACCTGTAAAGACTTCAGCATAAAAATGCAATAAAGTGAGCGGTGAGTTAGAAATGTAGTTTATCCACGGTGAAAACATAAGACATTTAAACTGATACAAACTATTTTTCAGTCCTAAAATCKCAAACATCGAGCTGAGATATGGTCATGCTGCTCTGGTTTATCTAAAGTTTCTTCAACCGTCTCCTTTGCTGGGTTCTGTTTGAAATGAAGGTCAGCTCAGCTCGCCACCATTAATGAGGATGATGTCATTCCAAATCTATCCCAGGTGTGAGCTATGACTGTGATTGGTTTCCCTTGTGAGGAACATAACGTGTGGCCAAATGCATTTCAAGAAAGGAAAACAGCAAAAGTGGATCACAAAGCTACGCTGAGCCAAAGGTAATGAGTAACTAACAAGCTTCTAAGAAATGTAGTGGAGTCAAAAGTACARTATTTGTTTTTGAAATGTAGTGGAGTGAAATTCATAAGTTCCAAAAAAAAAAAAATTACTTAAGTACAGTAAAGTTACTCAAAAAAATGAATACAGTACTCAAGTAAATGTACTCCATTACTGTTCACCACTGCGTTCCGGAAGAGACTTCATTAAAGAACTGCTGCCTGATGTGAAGGGGAAGWAAGGCCTTAAAATAATGCCCTCAGTAGAGCTTAATCATGTAAATAAGGAGCCAATTAGGGGTGAAGAAAAGATTTAAGATAAAAAGGTGACACAGACACAAAAAATGTAGTTTATTTTTCTGCACTGGTAACAAGAATGAAAAAATATTAAATGAGTTGCAGTTATATTTTACACTACAAGCCTCATCCACTACTGTCTTTTTAAAGGTCGCTGCAGCGTGTGGGGAGGTAGGTTTGAACCGACCTCCTTCCACTTCTACAGCTGCTTGCATGTCACAAATATTTACATTAACAAAAGTGACATTCAACGAGTTACATTAATGCAAAAAATCAACACAATGTCAAAAATAGGCACAATTGTAATATTCAGAGTTATAAGAAAATAATTCATAAGTATTACATTTTATAAAAACTGTGCAGGTTCTTCTCTTTTCTATTTATCTATAACAAAAAAAAAATCAAAATTAGACCTCAAATTTCTGATTTGTGCTTTTTTAGTCAAGTCTTGCATGCTGAGGAAGAGCTGAAGATGAGGTTTGGATTATGCAGCAAGTTAGTCTGCAGCTTTACAACTAAGGCCCACATAGTGGAACTAGATCTGCACACTGGACCTGCAAATTTAGAATGGTAGGACTATTTTGTAACAAAGTGGAAAACAGAGAACAGCGGTAAAGATCAGACAGCTGAGATTCAATCGGCATAGGGGTATCTTAATTACTATGTACAGAATTTGGTTAAAATCCATTAATTGTGCAGTCAGTGCACTGAAAATGTCTGCCCAGTAAGTAGTGTGTCCCTGTGATAGACTTGAGACGTGTCCAGTGTGTCCTCTCACTGGGACTGTTGGACCTGGAAAAGAAAAATTGGGTGAAGAAAATGAATATGTTCCTGRCTGCAGTAAGAAATGCCACCACTAGGTGGTGGTGTTGCTTTACAAATCAAATGTAGAAAAAATGTTTCTACAGAAATACATACAGTATATACTTATTTGAGATGTATAATTTATATGCTATTTTTTCTGTATACTTCAGAAAGGCACTATATGCCTAGCAGATTGACATAGTTTCTGGTCAAGTATTTTTAAGCTTAATCATACAAAATCTTGAGTTTTAGATGGTAATGTTTTGGTTAGCCAGACTGATCAGGTTTAAAGGTGTTGGTGGTTTGGAGCAAAAAAAAAAAAAAAAAAAAACTTCCACTGTTAAAAACTAATGATTTGTAGATATTTAGAGACAGTAAGAGATAAATGCTTTCTGGTGTTGCTCAGATACATTAATGAGTGCTAAATGTCTGTTGGAATAGCTGAAAAAGGTTAGACTGGTTGTTAAAGCTAAAGCTAAAATAAGCAAAGAGCTAAAAGCTACAAGYTGACTAAAATCTAGCAAAAACAATAACTAAAAGTAAGAAGACAAATAAGGAGAAAGTGTTGAAGAATAATTTTTTTAAGAACTTGAAGCATTCTCAATGTATTTTGATGTRTATTGTACGTTTGCAGAAGAGAACTCATAAAAACTCTCTAGAACAACCTTGACAATAAAACGTGTCTCCAAAAAGAAGACAAATAAATGGAAGTTTACTCTGAGATGCTTTGCTCCTTCACAGCAAATTGTTTGGACCTGAAGGGTTCCAGGTTGACACACGTGCACCAAACAGCTTGTGATCTCACCTCAGTGACTGAGAGATGGAGGCAGAGGCGTTGGCAGACGGGAGACGATAATCAGGCCTCCACACTCGTTGATTTTCAGACAAATTAAACGTCAGGGGAAAGCAGGGAGCGGGACCGCTGGGCTGCTTTGAAAAGCTGAGGCTATCATAAATTATTAATGGCTCCCCGTCACGGCCTTTTCTCTTCATCCTTTGCTCCATCTTTCTCTTTTTTTTTCACCCAACCCTCCCCTTCTCAAGTCCTCAAAGCTCTTCAGTACTTTTCCTCTTTTTCACGTTTTGCTTCCCCCTCTGCCCCCTCCTCTCACCTTCATTTCCTTCATTTCATCCTTTTTTATCTCTCAGCTCCTCTTTTCATCACTCCTTCCTCCAAACTTTGTTTACAGTCCATTTCTTCCCTTCAACCCTCTAAATTCCCTTTCCCTCCCTGCTCTTTGCTGATTTTCACCATTCAGCTCTTCATCACCTGTTTCCATGTTAATCCTGATCACTTTTATACTAAACATTCTCGTCTTCCCGCCTTCTTTTAGACCAATAAATTTTCCAACATTTTCTTTATTTTGACAACCATTGACCATAATATTCTTATTGAAAAGTTAAATAGATGTGGCATTTGAGAATTAGCGTGTATTTAGATATTTGAATAATAGGAAACAGTTTGTTCAGGTAACTAATGTTTGATGTGGAGTTCCTCAGGGTTCTGTGCTTGGAACAAAGTTGTTTATTTCCGCTGCTAATTGCATTTTGTTTGTGATTCCAGCTTTTTTCAATTATTTTAAGCTGTTTTCTGTGTTAGCTACTTTTTAGCTAATGTGATCTTTCAGCTAAATTCACATTTTTGTGATAATTTCAGCTTCTTACTGCTTAATTCAGCCAGTGCTCACCCTAATTACAGCTATTTTGACTACTTTTAAAAGCCTTTTAGGTGATTTTCAGCTTGTTTAGCTTTTCAGCAAAAAATATTTTAGCATTAAGCGCTCACACTGCTTTTTCACATTTCCAGTTATTACTGTTCATGTGACAATCATACATTTTAGTAATTGATAAAAGATGAAAGCGCCTGTTTTGAGTGATCTTTTGCAAATACTCAGTGTACAGCTTGGTATTTAAAACTCAATATAACTGAATCTAAAGAAAAAAAAATCCCATGCACTGGATCAGCTTTATGCTTAGCTAATCATTTACCATTCCACATAAAACAAATTGTTTTGAAAAAATAACAAAACTTGTTGACTTGATCTTGGGGGTTGGGGGATTAATTCTAGTTGTTCCTAACATGTTTTATTGCTTGTTTGCCTTTATAATACTTGCACAAATAAAAATGAAAGAACAATCAAAAAGAGAAATATTAAAAAAGCACAGCAAATAAACTCAACAATAAATGAAAGAATAAACTTAAAAAACACATAGCAAGGCTAAATAAATGTATTTTTGTTAAAAACACAGGCCTACTTCTTCAGTTTTATAAAAGATGAAAGAGTTACTTAAAAATTCTCCTTTCTTGATCATTTCCCCCAACTTTGTACAGCTCTCCAGCTGCTGTTGTGTTGTCATTCACTCAAAATGCTTCTCAGCCAACAAGCCTTTAGTGAGCTGTAATACAGGGAACAATGATAAATATGATAATGAATCAGGCTTCTGTCTGCTGTCTATTGTCACCTGGTAATGAGTTTGTCCCGAAGGTCATTGCTATAATAGCTCATTAGCATCACCGGCTAATGCTGCTTTGTGATTCTGGAGGTGCACCGGTCAGCTGGGCTATTTGTTTGCTGTAGTGGCTGAAGTTCTGTGCGACAGGTCCTCCTTTCAGTATTGATCTGTGTGGGTTTCAGTGTGAGTTTGTGGGTTTTACTGCTGACAAACAGTGTTACTGCCTGTGTCTGTTAAACACCTTTGTGCATCAGATGACTACCTTTGTGTTTGTGTGAAGAAAAATGTCACTGTGTTCTGGACTAACACTTACTTTGAACTTTATACATTCTGCAAAATCTGTGCCTAAATATCTCATGTGCCACTGGACAGATTGGATTTAAACTCAAAGTATATGATTGGCTGTAAAACTCATCACAATTCAAGACGGCCACCACAGATAACTGACCTTAGCCAGTACATAAATGGGTATAAAACAGTTTTATAGATATTGAGCTAAACTTGATGTTGTAGTAGCTGATTGTCATTTTCAGCATGTATTCAAGCACTAATATATCAGGTGAGATCTCAAAATTGTGTTCATCAACTGCAAATGCAGAAAAACCAGAGGTTTTAAAGAGTAACTTACCCCAAAATTAACTTTTTTTTTTTAGCTGATAAACGGTCTAGAATGTGTCTAAAATGTTATATAGTAC